TACGAGTGCCCCAAGCCTAGCTGGGAGCGCTCCAAGAGGCCGCCGTCCAACTCCTTGACGTACTTGTGGAAGTGGAGGCGCACCCCCCGCAGCACTTCCCGGGTCGACTCATCGCTCTTGCATGGGAAAGACAGCGTTTCCTGGATCACTGTACCCAGCGCCGGTTCGATCACACCCAGTGTCGTCCCTTTTCCCGCCTTCTTGACCTTGGGCAGGTTCAGTTCCAGGAAATGTTTCAAGTCGTCGCTCAAAATGTGCTCCGATACGGCATTTATATTCTCCAAGGCGTTCTCGGCGGAAGTAAAGGGCTGGAAGGCCTTGAGTTTCACGGTCCGTCCGAAGCGCTGCACATCCTGGACGGAGGCTTGGACCTCGTCGGTCAGAGAGGCGATGTCATCGTGCTGAATCAACTCGAAGAGGGCGTACCCCGAAGCCGACTCATAAAGGACGTACGAGGTCTGAGGCCGGGAGAGGGGGGCATGTATGAAGTGATGGAGGAAGTGGGGGTAGGTGAATAGATGAGATTGATGACTACAATGCGACAGGAACAACATCATACTCGGAATCTCTGAGCCAGAAGGGCTTCGAAGGGAGGGCAAGTGGGATAAACGGAGGGGGCACGAGCACAAATCCGTAATGTATGTCCAAACGGTTGATTCGCACTCTGTGAGTACACCACGAGGACAATTTTACGCAGTTACTTTGGGACAAACGTGCTAAAAGCTCCTGGGGAGCGGGGAGGTAGCGCCTGACATTGTTGAGTTGTGAATGTGCAATGCGTATCGACTCCAAAACCTCCAAAGTTTCCCCCATGACTCATTAGATACGCTGTATACTAGTTATTCGAAATCAAGCCAGGATCGTATACGTACCATGCTCCCATGCACCGGCTTCTATCCTGGATACGCGACCTGAAGGCGGACACGGGCGTGATAATATCCTCCACAGGGAAGCGGTTGGCGGGCAGTTTCCCTCCGCTTCCACCGTGCTGTAGCTATGTCAGGAAAAGGAACCCATTTAATCTACGTGAACACGAGGCTTTAGCATACGAATGTACCACAACACGCGCGCACTGGCCGCCACCACACGGGTGCGATTGACATTTCGGGCGCAGGTGGATGGGAGTGTCCTGGTCTGAGTCTCGTTAGCGACTGAGGCCTCTGCGCTCAAGGAAAGGGGACCCCCACTTGTTGCTTTTTTTTCACTTTCACTTCCCGAGGGCGGGCGCGACGGTAAATGCTGTTACACATGTCCGCTCGGGACGATTTCGTCGCACGTCGACGGTGCTGAAAATGCTGGCCCTACCGTCGTGGCGCACAGGGTTTTGGTCATGAGGAGGGGGGCCATTCGGGGGCTCGTAACGGGCGAAGCCAGCTTTCTGGTGATGAAGGGGTTCCCTGCCCGAGGACAATTCGTGCACCCACTCACCTCCACTTCCACACCTCACACACACACACGTGATCACATGATCTTTGATTGAAGAGAGCCTCCTCAGAGCTGCATGCTGGCTGTCGCTTTGGGTGGGCCAGATCGGAAGGGCTGAGAGAAAAGTCTTGGGACTCAAGAAGGGAAGGCGAGTGGCAGTGCACCAGGGAGCGCGTCGGACCGTAGCGGCCGCGCCAACCGACGCTCGTCGACGACTCTGCAGGTCGTGAAGAGCAAGATAAGACGGGTAAGTGACGGGGAAATCGGAGTGTGCTAGAGCTTTGATAGAGACTTCTCCGGCCGAGGCACTCACTGGGCCCGAAGAGCGTGGGAAACGGCTTGCGAGACGAATATTTCTGAAATATAGAGTAGTACCACTCGCTTTGTCGTAATATCTATAATCAAAGTCTCTCGTTACGTCCCAGCAGGCCCAATCACGAACTCATTCGCCCAATCTGTTCAGCCATTACGTCGCGGGCTGAAGAAGCTGGGCGAGGGCCTCCGCAAGCGGTGGAAATGAGCTACACGCCAATGTCCAGAGCGTCTCAGTTGGTAAGTGGGGGTGAAGCAGGCAAGAAAATTAATGAAAGTTTGGGAAAATGACGTGTAGAAACGTGGATCTAAGAGGTCTTGACCGTGTCTGTTACCTGCTGTGTCTTAGGGAGGCATGGGGGCCAGTGCCGGCAGCACCAGTAGCGAGGGTGGGCCCACGCAGATGGAGTTGGACGAGGCCTTGGCCAGGCAGTTGCAACGGGCAGAAATGGATGGAATCAGCACGCCGTTGATATTGGGGG